CTCACGTATTGCAAAACACAGAAATGACTAAGGGTCATTTGAAGAAAGTAAGTAGATGCGAACAAGCTTGGGATAGAAGCTGGTGACTGTGAAGTGGCCGTGGGAAGTCAAGGGCAGTACCAGATCAAGAGAAGTACTTGAAGGAAGGTGCTGACGGTGAAGGTTAAGGGCTCAAAGAACACGCATGCCCAGGGCTTCTGCTTAGGTTAAGCTGGACGTCCAGGGCTCGATAGAGAGGTGGGAGCAGGAGTTGTTCTGACAGCCTGGGAACAGAGGCTCTGGACTTGCAAGAAGGCTGCTTCCCAACAAATCCACCTGAGTCAAAAATATCAACAGCCAAAAGCACTCAATAGCCTGATAAGCCCATTGAGAAGTCAAAGGCTCTGCGTCACCATGCCTCCCAGCACCTACTTGGCCCTCTGGTCTTCTCTTTCATCCATCTCCACCATTCCTAGGACAGCCAATAAAGATTCTGAAATTCTAAAACCAGTTAGTTGAATGAGTCCAACACAAAGGCCAGAGGCCCTGGAGAGTGGGCTCAGGACCGGCCTCCCGAACACGGGTCTGCAGCTCACCAACAAATGCCCTGAAGGCAGACCATGGAAGATAAATGCCTGGTGGGTTAGAGATGGTAATAAACCCTGTCTGAGAATGCTGCATTCTGATTATCTAACTTAACCCAACAAAACATACTATCTTGAGAAAGGATGAATAATTGTTCCTTATTCTCCAAATATCAACCATGTCAGGTCTGCTTTTGTTGAGAATCACAAAGTAGTAATTACAGGTTAAAATTTCAAGCAAAATCCTGCAGAAAATACCGTGTGTGACTAACAAGAATGACCAATCTATTTTGGATAGAAAACTTAAATAATCCAATCAATAAATGGTCAAAGGAACTGAACAGGCATTTCACAGAAGAAGAAATATAAATGGTCAAAAACTATATGAAAAAGTGTTTAAAATCTCTAGCAATTAAGAGAAATGCAAATTAAAATTACACTGAGATTCCATCTCACTACAGTCAGAATGGCAACAATCAAAAATATAAGTAACAATAAAATGTTGGCAAGGATGTGGAGAAAAGGTTCACTCATACCAATTTGCCGATGGGACTGCAAATTGGTACAACCACTCTGGAAAGCAATATGGAGATTCCTTAGAAAACTGGGAATGGAACCACCATTTGACCCAGTCATCCCACTCCTCAATTTATTCCCAAAAGACTGAAAAACAGCAAACTACAGTGAAGTGTCAACATCAATGTTTATAGCAGATCAATTCACAATAATTAACCTATGGAACCAACTTAGGGCCCTTCAACAGATGAATGTATAAAGAAAATGTGGTTCATATACACAATGGAATATTATTTATCAATAAAGAAAAATTAAATTATGGCATTTGCTGGCAAATGAATGGAACTGGAGACTATTATGCCAAGTAAAATAAGTCAATCCCCCAAAACCAAAAGGTGGAATGCTTTCTCTGATATGTGGATGCTAACACATAATAAAGTAGGGGAAGGAAGAATAGAAGTTCATTGTATTAGACAAAGAGGAATGAAGGGAGGGATGGGGATGGAGAAGACAGTAAAATGGATCAGATATAACTTTCCTACGTTTATATATGAATATACAACCAGTGTAACTCCACGTCATGTACAACCACAAGAATGGGATCCTAATTAGAATAAATTATACTCCATGGATGTACAATATGTCAAAATACACTCTACTGGCATGTATATCTAAAAAGAACAATTTAAAAAAAAGTAAAAAAAAAAAAAACTTGCAGACAGAGGAACTTTCATGAAAATTTAAGCAACTGGATAGCGGCAGGAATGTTTAAAAAAGGGAATGTTTTTGAATTTTGGAAAGTTCAAGAGAAATCCCCTAAAACATACAAAATTAGCAGGCCCTGTACCAAGCAGTCTGCTGCAGTACCCTGTTTTAATCTCATCGCAGTTCCAGGGTGGCAATAGCATCACCATTTGTCATTCAAGTAACAACAGGAAACCAGGCCCACGTGCGCTGCAGTGGCAAGAGGAGTGGGGCGAGCTCCAGGGCTCCCACCAGGCTCCAGAGCTTGACCTCTGTGCAAATCTCACTGTCCTTTCCTGCGTAAGCCGCCTTCTGAGGCCCAGGCGGTAGCGCCCACAGCTCCAGGCTCTCACCTGCATGCTGAGAGCTCCTCCACATTGGGGGGAATGTGGAGGAATTTCCCAGTACCACTGGGAAAGTAGCTGAGTGCCTCTAATTGGCCCATGGAGGTCACATGCCCACCCCTGGCCGTCCCCAGGGGCAAGTCACAAGGTTTTCTGACTAGCTGAAGCTGGCCACCTGTCCCTCCCAAGACGGGTCCCCAGGCTACTCCTGGAGGATGCTGAGGGAGAAGGAACAAGATCCCCTTTACAGCTCAGGAGCCCATGGTCTAGGAAGATAAAGTGACTTGCTGAAAATCAGACACCTAGAAATAAGTCTAGGTTGACCTTAGGTCTACTTGCCACACCCATATGTACCTGTTTAGCACTAGAATTTAACAATGCAAAAAGACCCTTACTTAACTTCTAGATATAACACCAAGTTGAAACATAACATTACAACACTGCTTCATTATGAATTTAATTTGGCTAACAAAAAAAAAAATCGTAACCTATTTTAAATATGCTTTTGAAAATTTCAAAAAGGAGTTTCCAGTTTAGAAAATTCATTTCCACTAAGAAAAAATTAGAACCGTAAGTGGAGTTTTATTGTCTTCTTTCATAGATATATCCAAAATTTATGTTAATTTTTAAGTCCTTGGTGATCAATGACTACTTTCCAATCTACCTTGGTAACTTTTTCAGATTTTGCTTTCCAGGAAATTTAAAAAAAAAAAAAAATTTACATTTACATTTTTTGTACTGTCATATTTTATTCCAATTAAAGTACAAGAAAGTTAAACTAACAAAATAAAGTCACTGTTGTTTGAAAGCAGAAGAAAAAACTTCTACTGACCATGATGAAATATGAGTTAGTAGATTTAAACAACTCAAAAATCAGATGAAAAGCGTAAACTGGTGGTTTGCAGACCTCGACAGCAGGCAGCACAGGACTGTGGTCCTAAGGAAAGGCTGTTTCAGCAGCCTGTGGAGTTTCCGGGCCACAATGCAAACAGGCCCTTGTAGTGGAGTTGAGCACACAGCTCGGATTCCAGGGGCCAGGAGGGAAGACCTGTGGAGACTGCTCCGAGGTCTCCTGGAGCTCCTCTAGGTCTCCACCTGAGCACGCACCAGCTCAGGCCTGTGGGGATCGACCCGAAGCCCGGACAGCCCGGGCACTTCCTGGAGCATCTGAGGGCTGTGGCCGGTGGGAAAGCAGCCCTGGGCGCAAGCCTCTTTCAACAGCTCACACCAGCGCCCACAAGGCCTGGCACAACCGAAACTCCCAGGCACCCACAGGGGACAGAAGACCCACAGAAACAGGCCCAGCAGTCACACAGATGCAGGTGCCGATGCAGACAAGTCATCAGAGGCCGGGGACAGCCCAGAGTGACCGACAGCACAGCGGAGGGCACGGGTGACCAGACCCAGTGACCGACAGTGCAGCCGTGGACATGTGTAACAAAGACATGTGTGACCATGCCAGGTGAGTGACAGGACAGCTTCGGACACAGGTGACCAGGTCTGACAGTACCATCACGGCAGGCGGGTGAGCAGGCCTTGCAACCCTGCACACCCACGGACCTGGCTGACCAGGCCCTGTGACCCAGCGTAACCACAAGGGTGACCAGGCGACGGCTGGTGCACCTGTAGACACCTGTGACCAGGCCCTGTGGCTGATGACAAGGCGGCGGGCAGGCGACCCAGCGGTGGGCGGAGGGCGCGCGGACCCTGGAGGGTAGGTCGGCGGGGCGCGCGAGCGCGCAGGCACAGCCTGGACCCCGAGGGGCCCGCGGCGCTGGGGACGCTCGCAGCCGACCGCAGCGTAGCGCCTCACGGGTCCCCGCGCGCTCCCCGCCACACTGGCCAACGGCGCGGCCCCGCGACGCACTGGCGTGGGGTCGTTGGCGCGACGCGCGGGGAGAGGTCGATGCGCTTGCGCAGCGGCGGTGTCCGGCGCGCGTGCGCGCTGAGAGGAGAGCGGACCGGTGGGGGGGGGGCATGCACACCGCGGCCTGTGCCCAGGCGGCGGTTGCTACGGCAACGGCAAGCGCGGCCGACGTACGGCGCGGCCGTGTGGCCGTGGCCCGCGCGGTTCACTAGCGACCAGCGCCTGGCGGCGTCCAGGCCGTGCACTGCGCGGAGCTGGTGGCGACCGCCGCTGCCGTACAGCGTTAAGGCGCGGGGTCCTCCACGGCCCGGCTCTGGGCCCGCCCTCGACGCCTGGGGACTGGATGAGAACCTCCTTCCTGGTCTCTCGATGCAGTGACCGAAGGGACAAGGAAAGGTGACAGCACAACAGGAGGGTCCGCCTGCGCTGCCGCTCTCCTGGGTGCCAGTCCTTCGAGAGGCTGCCCAGTGCAGGTGACGGGCCCAGCCCCGGCACGTGCCGGCAGCCGCCGCCCCCGGACGCGCGGGAACGTGCCCCTGGCTCGGCGCTGGGCCTCGGAAAGGCGCGCTGCCCAGAGGCCCCTGGGGAGGAGCCGGGACCACCGGCCCGTGCCGGCACCCGGCTGCCTCCTAGATGAGCGAGCCACATCCCCAGCCCTATTTTGTGTTTAATTTAGAGACAGGGTCTCACTGAGTTGCTTGGCACCTCCCTTTTGCTGAGGCTGGCTTTGAACTCAGCATCCTCCTCCCTCAGCCTCCTGAGCCACTGGGATTATAAGCATGCACCACCCGCCCAACATCAGTTAGACTCTTAATATGTATGTTCCCACAAAATCCATAAGAGCTCTTTATGTACACTCTGATTTTCTGTTCGCTGTGTTTTTTTGCAGCAGAATAATGAAAGCAAGGTGACATGGTTTGATGATAGGATTTGTTGAAGCCAAGTCACAACTTTTCCTGATTCAGCATGCTAAAACATAAGGTACACCATCCTTCTTAAAACATACACACGCTTTTACTCATGGGACATATTTTAACTGCGCCTTTTGAGAATGTACAAATAGTATTTGGTGTTTCAGCGAGGAATCGTGAGCAGAGAGGAGAAGCACATGGTGTGGGGCACTGGAAGGTAGAGACAAGTGTTTCTGACAGCTGCCCAGGCATCCTGCATGGGGAACTCGTCCATAGGAGAAATGTATTTTGACCAAAAAAAAAAAAAAATATATATATATATATATATATATATATATATATATATATATATATATATATATGGGGGGCTGGGGTTGTGGCTCAGTGATATAGCGCTCGCCTAGCATATGTAAGGCACTGGGTTTGATCCTCAGCACCACATAAAAATAAGTAAATAGAAATAAAGTTATCATGTACCTACAACTAAAAAAAAGATTTTTTAAAAAATGCACTGAAGTGCAAGATGCTCTTTAGGATTTGCCTGGAGTCTAATTTAATTAGTATGAAACAGTAGGTTTGTTTAGACATGCATAGGTTTATAGGTCATAATGAATTTATTTACACTATAATTAAGGCTTTAATAATCAAATAAGCAGATATTCCTGTTGTTAACCTTGCTGATGAGCCTGGGGTTGGCTCTGGTATAGAAGCGATGGCTCGAGTTCCTTTGCCAGGTGATTCCATCTCCCGTGCCATCAAGGGCCAGGCCTCATGTTTCTTCCCAATGATACATTACACAGTGCTGTTGTAAATGAGACCTTTTTCCTATTTTTTAGGATCACTCATCTAAAAAAGATAACTTAGCAATCACTGCGGTTGCTTTACAAGATCACATTTTACATGACCTTCAACTTGGAAATCTTTCAATAGCAGATAATTCTAAGACAGAAGTACGAAAGAAAGAGAACAAGGCAAAATCTCTGAAGAGAGATGCAAAAGCAGTAGTAGATACTGGACTTAAAAAACCCACGCACAGCCCCAGGGTAGAAGATCTGGAAAGAGAGTACGTTCTTGATCCCACACCACCGCCGCTGACTTTAGGTAAGCTGATCCGACCGTCCCCACACTGGCTCGTTAGCGCTGATGAACCTGCTGAGTTTAGTAATGGAGGGTTTTTGATACAGAGATCCTGTGCTTACCCAGAAAGGTGTGTATGTATTGAAGCTTACAAACAATGAGGGACAATTTGAACAAGAACATAAAGACAGTAATACTTGGTAGAATGAGAATAAAAAACAGCAGATTGGAAGAAATACCCATTAATCCATACCAATAAATAATTGAATAAATAAATTTTGTAAAAAAAAAAAAAAACTCCTGAGAGTGGAATGACAACTAGTTGCAGCTGCCAGGGTGATAGAAAAACCTCCACTTGGTGACCACCACAGGAATGGTCAGCAGCAGAAAGGAATTCAGGGAGAACCATGTGCGGACGGTGGACACTCAGATGGAAAGGCAGTAACACAGTGACCTCGGCACACAGCACCTTCACCCAGCAAATTGTACCAGTAGAGACGACTTCGTGTGCCTCCTGAGAAGAGGTGCCTTCACTCTGGGCGCTCTTGCCCAAAATGCACATCTGAATGTGACCATGAGGAAACCTCAGACCCGGATTTCCTGCCAGCACTCTTCAAAAGCCTCCAGAGAAGCAGAGACCTAGAAACTCCCAGATGACAGGAGACTACAGGGACATGATAACTGAACACAATGTGACATCCACTCCGAGATCAGGAAAAGGACATCAGTGAGACAGTGAAATTTAAATGAGGTCTGTCGACTATGCAGTCCAACCCATCTGAGGAGTGTGTTCCCAGACCCCCATGGGTGCCTGAAGTCACAGATAGTACGGAACCCCACATGTAGAGCTTTCCCCCTATACATACAGACCGATGATGAAGTTTGGTTTGCACATTAGGCACAGGAAGCGGTTAGCAGCATGAACAGTAACAGAACAACCGTTACCAGACCCCGTGATAGAAGTTAAGTGGACATGTCTCTCAAAATACTGTCCTGTACTCACCCTAATCTCGTGAGTGACGTTCCTTGACACAGCCCTGGGCCACATTGGTGTCAGGAGCGTCGTCTGCTTTGGGTGACGGCAGATCCTTGAGCCCTGTTGATGCCGATGGCTGGGGAGCTCCACGGTTGACAGTTCTTTTTGCTGAACCCTTTGGAGAGCGCTGTAGTGGGAAGTGGTGGCCTCTTTCCTTTTAACTCACTGAGCCATTGCTGTGGGGGTTGGTGACCACTTGAGTGCTGCGCTGCGTGGGAGGACATAGTTCACACTCTCGTCCTTGAGTGTCCTGCCGTGTAAAGCACTTTAGTGAGTTTGGGTGACATCCATGCTGCTGGTTCTGCTCCGTTTCTTCCTCCTCTTCCTCTGTCCTTCCACGTCACTGCACGGTGGCAAATGCTTCTCCATCTCCTTGTCTTGCTGCATGAACAATTCTCCTGACTTCGCAGCCGTTCCCAGGAAGCCTCTTAAAACATCCTCCACTTCACTCCCTAAGTTCTTCCAGCGGAGTCTTCCAGCTCTGCCCCACGTCCAGAGTAGGGTCTGCATCACTTGCCAGTCAGAGGTGGTCCCACAGCAGGCACCGGGACGGGTGACGTCCTGATCCTGTTCATTGGGAAACTGGTTGGAATGAGGCTTTGCTGAGTCCTCTTGTGGCTTTTGTTTCCAAGTCACTTTCTGTTTTAATTAATGTACTTTTGTAACATGTTTTAATAGAGGTAAGAAAAGGCCCTTCTCCTGCTTCCCCTGAGGGTCGTACACAGTTCTGCTGGAGATCTTGACTTCTTGGTTGGTGGAGGGGGAGTAACACATTGGTAGAGATGGGATCTGCTCCACAAATGTGGGGACTCTGTTGTCACTGTCAGCCATCGGTCCTCGACCCCGGGGTTTGCTGAGTAAGTTGCCAGGTCTGCAGGGGTGATCACTGTCTCTTCCCCTCCATTTTTCTGCCCTCTTTTTCCGCTTTCGTCTCTTTTTGCTCTGGCCAGGATTTTCTGAACTGTGTTAAATGTAAGTAGTAATTCTTGGCATTTCCTCTTGTGTCTAACACAACTTCTCAGATTATATGAGGTTTATTCTATGTTGTTTTTCTGGTTAGCCTTTAAAAATGGAGTTTCCCTTTAAACAAGTTTCTGGAGTTTTTTAAAGTCATAAATAGATGTCCTTTATTAACTGCTTTGGGCTTGAAGCTACTGAGATGCTCTTGCTGAGTTTCCTCCTTTGTGAGTCACCCTGATAGACTGGCAAACCTTGTGAGAGTCGAGTGGCGCCCAGTTGTGGTGCTGTCCAGCCATGGTGGATGCTGCACCTAACACTTGCCCAGGAGCTCACGCCTGCGGCCATGGCCCTCGCTGGACCAGGCATGTCCGTGTGCCATCCTTGTCTCATGGGATGGTGGAGGTCACACTAGCGTCCCTCTCTTCAGTACCCCAAAATAACGTGAAATAGGATACATTCCTGAAAGCCCTGGGTGCCTCACCTGCGAAGCCATCAGGCCTGAGCCTCCGTGGCTCCTTTCTGTGGTGGGTAGGGAGCAGTCGTCAGTTCAGATGTGGGCCACTGCAGGTATGGAAGGACCCACTAGAGGAGCGAGTCTTGAGAAGGTGGGGTCAAGTTCGCCAGGACAGCCTTTTCCCTGCCCTGCCACCTTGGGGTGATGGCAGTGACCTGAGTGGACCCAGAGGTTTGTTTCAGGGCCAGGTCCTAGATGGCAGGGGGCAGGCTGGAAAGGCCGGGGACACTTCACCTGACATGAGTCACTGCACTTTGGCATCTACAGATGGACAAGGGAGGGCCAGGCTGCCGTGGCATGCTCGGAGCCTCGACTCATCACAGCTGGCTCTGTAAGCAAGACAGGAGAAAGCTCCCGCCGTGCTGTGGCTCCTCCTGTGCCCCTCACCCTGCCGCCCCCACTCGGCGTCACCTTGGTGGAGCAGTCTTTGGTTGTGTTCTACAGAACCTTACTCTCCCTTCTGTCTGCTTTCCTCTGGAACGTGTTTGGGATGTCCTTTCGCCCTCCTGTCCCCGCAGGGTGAGCTCGCCTTACCCACTCCCAGCCCTCGGTGGAGGGCATTTCCACTGCGAGGTTTCCATGGCCCAGAGCTCCCTCTGCACTGGGAGGAGTCCTCTGTCAGGCCTCCCGCTCGGGGTCTGTGGCCGTCTCTCTGGCCTCCTTCTCTGCAGAGCCCTCATGGGCTGATGTCCATCACTCTTCTGCACAGGGCGTGGAGGGACGCCAGCGTCCTGCCCAGGTGTGCTGCTTCTCCACGCCACGCGCTTCCCATGGTGCGTGCGCCCAGGTCTGACGGAGCGGATGCCTGGTGGGTGCTCAGGCAGTGCTGGACAGGGAGTCCCAGGCCGGGATGAGTTGGCAGGGCAGATGTGTGGTTGCTGCACCCTTGTCACGGTCACTGGGGGCAGAAGCAAGTCAAGGTGGAGGAGGAGGTGCCTGACCGTAAATCAGGCAGGACACAGTGAGGAAATTTTTGAAAAAATTAGTACCCTTCAATTTCTCTTCTATAAAATTAAATATCCTGCTTGCCTTGTGAATGCTAAGTAAGATATGGGAGGTTCTTTGTAAAAAATATAAATCACTATTGATAATGTAAGGTACCACAGTGACACATGCACGCCTGTGTTCGTAGCAGCACAGTTCACAACAGCCAAACCACGGAACCAGCCCAGGGGTCCGTCCACGGATGAAGGTAAAGAAAACAGGTGTATGTCCACAATGGAGTTTTTTTTCTTCCATAAATAAGAATGAAATTACATCATTTGCAGGAAGTTGGATGGAACAGGAGACCATTATGTTAAGTGAAATAAGCCAACCTCAGAAGGTCAAGGGTTGTATGTTTTCTCTCATATGAAAGATAGAGAGGAAAAGGGAAAATAAAGGTGGGGCTGCGGGGGGGGGCTCATTAAAAACTGAAGGAAGAGCAGTAGGAAAGGAAGGGATGGGGGAGGCGGAGGGGAGGAAGGGAAATAGTGGGGAAGGATATTGGCCAAATTGTGTTGCAGTGCTGTGTGCATGTAGGACCAGGAACAGCCCCAGCACTGTGAATGATCACAGTGCACCAGTAAAGATGATCACCAGCGCAAGTCTAGGGAATGTGTAACCACTGAGTTCTCCGCCTCTGTGGAAACAGCACTGTGTACTGTTCATGGAGTGTGAGCCACAAACGCACTGCCTGTCCTTACTACCATCACGGGGGGGCGGGGGGGGGGGTCCATACTCTGATCATCACCCTCGTTTTTCGCTGTCTTCCCTGCAGCCCAGAAGCTGGGCCTCATTGCGCCTCCCCCGTTGCCACTGTCTTCAGAAGAATGGGAGAGTGTGAAACAGAGGTCCGTCCTGCACGGGGACTCCATGCAGCCGTGCCCCATCTGCAAGGAGGAGTTTGAGCTGCACCCCCAGGTGCGCGGCACGCAGAGGAACAGGTCAGGCTAGGGGCTGCCTTCTCGTCACAGTGAGCCGAGCTGGACGCGCGTGGGATGCCGGGCCAGGCCTGCTCTTTCCAGCCCCGTCCTCCCCTGACCCTTAGAGACGTTCCCCATGTGGCCAGTCAGAGGTGTGTGTGAAGGAGCAGACAGCCTTGTGAGGCAGGTTGTGATTTACTGAATGATGCCAAGTCTCAGGGCAGGAGCATGCGAAACAGGAAGTATTCCGTTGCGTGAGCAGAGATGGCAGGTGGAGGGTGCAGGGAGGCCCGCGAGTCCCAGGGCAGGGGAATGGGCACAAAGGGACTTTAAGTGATTTTGTGAACTGAGTCATAAGAGAGGAGAGAGACTGTGTTTGAATGCCTTCAAAGAACTTGGGGGAGAACCCTAAGAAGGCCGTATCCTTTCATCTTGACTCTTGAACCTGTGGTGCGTGAGCAAGGATACCACCTGGGTTTGTAAATGGCTCTTGACCAGTGGCCCACTCTGCCTGCTGCTCTGTCGCCTCTGGGCTCTGTCGACTCAGGCTCCCAGAGCGTCCTTGGTACTGACGACTGCCCTTCAGGGACTGTCTGCTGGCCGCAGCACCCTGCTCCCCCAGGACAGACCAGCAGCTGCTGTCAGAGCCAGCGTGGACCCTGGCCTGAGGAGCTCCAGGCTTCCCTGACACCCTGGCACATAGTCTCTAGGGTTAATTTGCTTCAAAAAGTTTAATTATCAACAAGTAAGTTCACAATCATTAGACTTTTGTTCTTCACTAATTTAATTCGCAGGTTATTTGAAACATGCTTATTATATTCCAGTTCTCTATCAGGACCTAATCTCACATACGTGAGTTGAGCATTTTAGAAGAGAGTTTAGAACAACAGATTGCCAGGTAGGACGATTTATAACTCAGTGCTGAGTGTAGCAAGAGAGTTAATAAACCCACGGGGATCTTCCTGGCCTCAGCAACCTCTTTCTTAATTACCCTGTGAACATTTAGCCTGATTGTTCATATGAAGATGGAAAACTCAAAATTAAATATCTTAAAGGGTGTCAGGGTACATCCTGCCCAATATTTCTTCCATTCTGCTCTTCGTTTCTCACTAAATTCTATTATTTTTGTTTATTTTGCATATCTAATCATTATTTCCATGTTAGCATTTTCCCAACACTTTACCATTTCAGAGGGCCTTCTGGTCAGGCTCACAGTTCTGAGGTGGGCACATGCCCACTTAGCAGATGAGGCAGTAATCTAAGTGCTCCACAAGCCAACTGGGAAACATGGGAGAGCCCAGCTAGAATTCAGTCCTGACTTCTAGGCCACTTTAGTCTGTTTACTATCAATCATTAATTTTTTATATCACCAGATGTTTGCCAGTAACGCATATTTGTGGACGTTTACATCTAGAAGTATAATATTTTAAGTCTAGAGAAGTATAGTGTTATTTATTGTTGGTCAATCATCTGTTAATAAAACACCTGATTTTTCTACCAAGAGTGAGTAATTAAGTTCTCGGATGATTTTAAGCACAAATTTATCCAATTTAGACTTATTGTTGACAGGAAGCATCAAGGAAAGGTTTTAAAACTTTCTGAATTCTCTATTTCTTCCTTTGTTCCTATTTAAGAATCATGGCATGAGTGAGGGCAAGGAGGACGGGGCTCTTGAAACAGAGCCTCCCCGCCTCCCAGGGCCTGCATCTGAGACTGGGCCTCCCAGGGCCGTGGGCACTCAGAGACCACTCCTGCTGGTCTCTCTGCTTTTCTTTACTGGGGCTAAGCTCATGTCCTTTGTCCCAGCACATCACTTTTGGTGGGGAATATGGGTCACAGAAAGGTAAGGTTTTCTTGTAAGCACTTTCCCCCACATTTACAAAAGAAAAACTGGGGCTGGGGATATACTCAGTTGGTAGAGTGCTTGCCTCACACGCACAAGGCCCTGGGTTCAACCCCGAGCACCTCAAAAAAGGGAAAAACTGATTCCTTTATCTCCGTGATTTCTTGGTATTTAAGTCTCTCAGATTATATTTCAATAAAGCTGTGATTAAAAGTTAAGTTGGACAAAGCATTCCTCTGCTCCTTCCCACAAGACCTCGCCCTGTGGACGTCTGTCCCTCTCAGCCCCCATCTGCCTGGAAATAGCCCTGTACCCGGCAGCCCCACCCCTAAACCCACTCATCAGCAGGGCAGGCATGAGGCCTGGCTGCCGCGGGGTCACTAGCTGTGTTCTCCTGTGGCCCTGAAACAGAACGGTGTCAGTGACAGTCTGCCTTTCAGTGTCCCAAGTGTAATGCTGCTGCCCTGTAGGCCCTGACAGTCGCCCTTGTAAGGATGCTGTGCTGACTGGCCCCTCTGTCTCCCGCGGACAGGTGCTGCTCTCCTGCTCCCACGTGTTCCACAGGGTGAGTCACCCCCACCCTGCCACACTGCCCCCAGCAGCTTGCTCATCATCTTAGAGCGTCCCCAGAGTTAGCCCTCTGATTTACCCATGATCACCACTTGGAGTTAGCACTGTGACTGTAGGCCACACTGCAGTTCATCCTGTTTTGAAAGCCATGAATTTTATGTGACAAAAGAACCACAGACATTTGTGCAACAGATTGTCGCAGTGAGGCACATCAGGGTGAGTGACGGACGGCGTGATTCCTGCCGTGGTCTCCGAGGCCAGGCCGTCTTGTACATGGCTGCTGGCCTTACCACCCATAGGTTTTCAGGAGGTTTTGATGTCTCTGCATGTGTATTCTTGTAAAAAGTCATTTTTGGAACAGGTTTCATGAGGAAGGTGTTGACATCTGATGAAACTCCTTCACTTCATAGTCTAAATTGGACTAAGTCTCATAATTATGAGAGAATAGAACACTATAATTATATTAGAAGTAAAAATGTTGTTCATAAGTAATTACTCATAAAATGTTAAATGAAATCTTTTTTGCAGGCATGCCTTCAAGCTTTTGAAAGGTTCACAAATAAAAAAACATGTCCTCTCTGTAGAAAGAACCAGTATCAAACCCGAGTGATCCATGATGGGGCCCGTCTGTTCAAAGCCAAGTGTGCTACCAGGTAAGAGCTCTGCCCAGCTGTGGCCAGCGTCCTGCCAGGTGAGGCGGGTGTCTGGGGCCCCACCTGCTAAGCCTAAAAGCAGAGGGCTTCGTGTCTCTGCTGGGTCCTGGTCACCTTGGTCTCCCTTGGGCCTGGCTCAGCACAGGGCTCACAGAAGCACTGAAATGTTTGTGGAAGTCACTTTAAGGCATCAGCGAGCAAACCTGTGTGTTGTAGGATCCAAGCCTGCTGGAGAGGCTACGTGGTTAGAAAGTGGTACAGAAGCCTGAGGAAAGCAGTGCCTCCCACAGATGCCAAGTTAAGGAAGAAGTTCTTCGAAGAAAAGGTAGGCATGGGTCGTTCGTCTCCAATGGTCTCTGTGTGCAGGTGCTCACACCCAGTCCGTAGAGCCAACAGGGGCAGGAGAACTTTGAGGCTTAGTTCATTTTTTAGGGTGTTTAGACGAGTGAAGGCCTGAGAAAACCTACTCTCCTCAGTGGCTCTCCAACCTTGATCATAAAACGACAACAGGTTAGACTGCAAGCAACTTTCGCTTCCCCATTTGGAAACTGGCTTGAGTTTTCACGTCCTGGTAATTCTAAGGGAAGCAGAAGCCAGAGCTGGGAAGGAAGACGGCAGCTCTCTGGCTGGACGCCCCTGGGCTGTGGGCCCCCGGATTGCAGCACGCAGAGCTTCGAACTGCTCTTTACTTCTATTTTTACTGGGCTGGGGGGGGTGCTTATTTAACAATTTCAATGATTTGTGCCTTGTAACAAAGGCCAGGCATGGCAGAGGGGAGGGTGCCCCCAGACCCGGAGCCCACCCGATCCTGCCTTCTTTGTTCGGCCTGGTGGGCACAGGCAGGTCACAGATGCTCCCAGGCCTGTCTCCTGTGTGTGACAGGAGAGGGATTTCAGCTTGCAGTGTCAGTCTGAGCCCTGGACAGCGTGTTCACGGAGGCCTCGCTCACAGCAGCACTGGGAGTTCCCACTGTGAACACGGCGTGCTGTCCCAGCTGATGTGCATGGGAAGGGCTTTGGAGCTACTGACACTGTGCCTTAGTCAGCTTCATCCGCTAAGCTAACACCACCACAGCGCCCTGTGATCGGCTCTCTGCTGGGCTCCTTGGACTCCCACTTGGACTAACGCGAGGTGGGAGCACGCCTCCCTGTCTGGGGCAGTCCCCTTCCCCATGTGCCCTGGGCCTGGGGCATGGCATAGTAGATCTTTTGCTTTAGGGATAAGGTCTGGGCTCATCACGGCCTGCTGCCAGGTTTCATGTGACTTGGTGTGACCTTGGACGAAAGCTCAGTGTCCTTGTACCTCAAGTGTAGCTTCAGAGACCCCTTTGTTACCTGAGTCATCCCAGAACCACACATGAGTCCTGCAAGCCCTGGCCTCGGTGACGCTAACACAGGATGATCTTGTTCTAATACTGTGCCTCGTCACCTAAGTGTCTGTTTCACAACACAGATGTGAGTGAGGGTAACAGAGCGTCCCATTGCTTACTGTGGTGGACTGTGCTGTCCCCTCTTGGCCTGGGTCCCAGGCTGTGGGAGGTGGGGGCCTGCAGAGGGGAGTAAGGAAGACTGAGGTCCCACTGAACGGGGAGGGAGGCAGGGATGTTTGAGGAAGGGCCACCTTCTGGTGCAAGACCCTCCCCTGCTGTGTGCCACTGATGGAGAGAAGCTTTCCACCTGCCCACACTGCCTGGTTCTTTTTCAGACATCCCCATTTACAGAAAACACAGCAAATGGGCAAAAGTTCTGACAGGTACTGGATAAAGACTGTGTGTGGCCTGTGCTTCTCTCGGCAGCCCGTCCTTTCTTGTGCAGAGAAAGCAGCAGCAACTTCTTTCTAGGTCTCTGCTCTGGTGCCCGCCCCGGGCCCAGGTTGCAGTGGCAGCACGTTTGCAGCTTTGCAGGCAGGAACAGGTCGGGGCGCCGTGTGTCCAGGCGGTGGCTCTCTGCCCACATGGAGGGGTGCTGTAGCAGGCGTTCTCCCGTCAGGGGATGTGGTCTCCCCTGTGGCTTCAGTCTTCTTGAGCCCACCTTCTTGTGCGTTTTGCAGCAGCAGTCCACGGTCACGCTCCCCCTGGGCCACTCCCCACGGTCAGGCTCCCCCTGGGCCACTCCCCACAGTCAGGCTCCCCCTGGGCCACTACCCACGGTCAGGCTCCCCCTGGGCCACTCTCAGCGCTAGGTTTCTGTTCGTTTATCTGTGATGGACCTCACTGTTGCAATGCGTAGGTTCCAGGTGACTACTGTCCCAGAGGCAGGAAGGAGCACACGTACGTTGCACGAACTGGTGTGACCGGCCTGGTCTGCACTTGGGGCTGAGATGACCCTGTAAAGTTTGCCAGCTGACAAGAACCCGAGAGGCACAGTCCCTGCCGGGTGTGTGCCCCTGCACTGGGCTGGGGGCACAGGGTTAGGGACAGCAGGAAATGCACCCTCACAGTGATGGCATGTGCCCGCCGCACAGGAGACCCCCGTGCTCCCTGCACCCCGCGCTCACACCTCTGTCCTGCTTCCTCTCCACAGCCCCGTCTGCCATGGCACTGTGCTACTCACCTGGGCCGGTCCCTGGCAGAGGGGCTTGCTGGAGCAGGTTCTGAGGGAGGCCAGGCCCCTTGTCATGTGGAAGGGAGGGCAGGATAGGGCTGTGTGAATTTGGAGCACTCTGAGGTCCTGCCAGAGCTCGTGGCACACACAGGAGTGTCACAAGTGTCCTGGGAGATCTGCTTTAGACTCCTGACCAGTTCAGAAACCCGCGAGCAGCCAGCCCTTGGTGCTGCAGTTCTCACACCTCCTTTCTGAGCACTGTCCCCTCCCCTGGCCTTAACACATGAGGACTTAAGTCAGGGAGGTGTTCCTGGGGCGAGGTCAGGCTCCGTGTTCCACAGGGTCCTCCCAGCTCCTCAGCCGCTGTCCCAGTCACAGGACTCCTGCAGTGGGGCATTCTTCCTACCTTTAAGACTTTAAGGCTCCATCAGAGTCCTTCCCTGAGCTATAGAAACACAAGGGACCGTTACCTATAGTTTAAAGGTCAGCCTGTTCAGGAATCTGAGGGCTCTGAGGGCCTTACTGAATTCACCATGACCAAGGCGTCCTGTGACTGGCCTGAGGGTGGCTCAGACTATCTGTTTGATGTCATCTCTGGGTGTGTCCATGAGGACACAAGCAAGATTAGCATCTGAGTCTGTAGAATTAGAGAAATAAGTCACCCTTCCCAGCGAGGGTGGGCAGTAGCCAGAGCAGAACAAAATGGCGGAAGAAGGACAATCGCTTGGAACAAATAGTTAAAACAAAAAAAATGGACTCGGCAGCTCAGGAGGCTGAGGCCAGAGGACCACAGTTTTGAGGCCAGCCTCAGAAACTTAGCAAAGCCATAAGCAACTTAGAAAGACCCTGTCTCAAAATAAAAAGGGCTGGGATGTGGCTCAGTGGTCAAATACCTCCATGTTTAATCCCTGCTACCAAAACAAACAAATGGAGACAATATGTTTGGAGGAAAGCATTACAAAATGAATTCATGATCTGAGAGAGAAAGGACTTTTCTGAATGTGTTTTTGCATAAGCCATTAAGGAAATGATAACAAGATAAAATTTCAAAACTTCTTTATAGGGGGATAAAAATTAAAAGATGACCACGTCAGGGAAATGTCTGTGAGCATACATGTCTTTAAACATTTCCGTAATACACTGTGACAAGCAGTCTGCAGAAGAGGGACTGCGGTACAAGCTACGGTGGGGGGTGTCCAGCCTTCCTGTGGTTAAAACGAAAGGTAAGAACCCGCCTCACCAGAGAGGCAAGAACTGGAAAGCAAGGTGATGACGTTCCAGCCCAGAGGCAGAGGGGGAAGGGACGTCCTGATGACCGTCCCTGGAGTGCTCAGAGTTGCCCTTACATGCCCGATACAGCCACGTTTCCAGAGGAAGAGCACGAGCTGCCAGAGAGGCTCCCACTGAGGATACCTGGGTGACCACTGCACAGCAGCCACAGAGCCCCAGGTGGACGTGCAGAAAGGAAGATTTTCAAGATAAGTGGAAAAGCAACGTGTGGAAAATTTGATAGAATTTTTTTAAACATAAATGAGAAAAAAGTGAATCTGAATAATCTTTAGGACAATATAGTAGCGATCTTAACAGTAGTTTTCTGTACAGAAAAATGGGAAGACGAGGTCAGGAAGAGAATTGCCTTTTGTTTAAGCCTTTGTGGACTTTCTGACCTTATACACATAGTGTGAATTTTGTTTCCTTCATCAACAATTATCTGTAGAGAAAATTTGTGTTCTCTGCTTTTTCTGCTTGGTATATTTCTATATTAAATAAAAAAATTATCTAATGTTAAAAACTATTCCAGCAAAAGTCAGGAAAAGGGAAAAAGGCAGCAAGGAAGAGTGATCAATAGAAGGTAAGATGACAGAGTAAAACAGCAGTAACAGACATGACCAGGACAGACTTCCCTGTCTCATAGCAAACTCTTGGAGAACAAAATGAAACAAAAATGCTCCGTATAAAGGCATGCTCACCACAACCATGCCAGCGACCAAGACGAGATCCCATGAAAATCAAAATAGCATAATTGAATGTTAAATAATGTATTTTGAAATTTAAACTCTAAATTCTGATGTTCATGACCAGAATACCAGTCTTATTTGGTGAATAGCTAAAGCTATTCTTAGAGGCAAATTAGTAGTGTCAGATAGAATTATTACTAAGCACAAAATATTAACAACAATGAACCACTCGTCCAAGTCAGAAATCTGGAAAACAACACTGAACTTTCTCTTAGATGAAGGAAGTAGACAATATAAAGATAAAATAGATATTAGGAAAAAAGCAAAGCTGGTGGATGAGCTGTATTTGGGGGGAATACTTTGAGACAAATATGTCACCAGAGTTTAAAAATACTATAAAACCATTTCATGGGACCCAAAGCCCGTGGTTCTGGCACACACACGGCTCTCAAGCGGCTTAGCAGAATCACCTATCAGCACCTCTGCAGAACTCCAGAATGTGCCCCACTCCCACGCAGGTCACTCGGCTGCTGCCTACTCACAGCACAAGGTCATCACCCAGCTCCCCCCACCTCACCAGACACCCCAGTGCTGCAAGCAGACCAAATCCATCTTGGAAAAACCTTTCTCGCCATATTTGGTGGGTGTGGCTATCAGATCAGGTCTCCATCTGAGCAGCATGTCGTCCTATGCCCGACCCTCAGTTCATCGTCCACCGCCAGAGACTGTAAACCTTTTTATGAGATTACTGATTATATTTTAAATAATAATTGATCCAACATTTCTGGACATTGAGACCAAACTGTACATGTCTTAATAACAAC